ATTCTGCTGGTAAGACCAGGGCATTTTGCTGGTAAAACCCGGGCATTCTGCCAGTAAGACCCGGGCATTCTGCTGGTAAGACCCGGGCATTCTGCTGGTAAGACCCGGGCATTCTACTGGTAAAACCCGGGCATTCTGCTGGTAAGACCCGGGCATTCTGCTGGTAAGACCCGGGCATTCTGCCGGTAAAACCCGGGTATTCTGCTGGTAAGGCCCGGGCATTCTGCTGGTAAGGCCCGGGCATTCTGCTGGTAAGGCCCGGGCATTCTGCCGGCAAGACTTGTGGGAACGTTAGCGGAGTTTACACCCGCAAAGAGAAGAGGACAATGGAGTGACGTCATCAAAGGTTTATAAGTGGCTGCTTAAAACTTCACCTGACGCTATTGCCACCCTGGCGGATATCGTATTGCAGATCAGATGGAATTTTTAGGTGAGATTGTCCTTCAGTGACACCCACTCCCAGGGAACGCAGGATACTCCCGGGGAATGTAGTGAGTATTATACATATTGCAAAGGACCGCACTGCTGTGCAAGTTGTGACAAGCTGAGCATGTTTTTTCACCTGTGTGTGCGTGTGCTCAGCTTGAACATGTTTTAATTCCCGAGGAACAGTCATTCGTTGCATTTGTTTGAGTTGTATTACAGGCCAAAGTCCAACGGTGAGACACAGATAACAAAACAATGTTTTCCTTAATCGAATATATGTAATATGTTATTAGGAAGTAAGCAGAGACAGAAGAAAGGGTTTCTTAGTTGCGTGGATCGATGTTCATGATGTCAATCCCTGGATTGTCTGGTCCAGACTCGATTATGTACAGACCGCCGTTATATAGCTGTAATATTGTGCGGCGTTAAACAACAAACAAACAAAACAAGTATAATAGAGGGATTTATTGTACAAACGGGCTATCATGGTCAATGAAGGGATACCCAGTATACCCCGCCACTGACCAAAATGCAAACAAGGTCAATTGTGAAGTTCCCTGCAAGTGACGTCACTGCAAACGCGATGACGTCATCATGTCCGTAAAGTCAGACCATCCGCCTTACATGTATGTTTCTACACGCCTAGCCAGTCCAGGTTGTATGACGCGTTATGATCACTACTCTTCCATAAAGGAACGAGTTATTTCGAGTGTAATTGGACATGTGTCTCGGCTGGTTGAAACTTATGCCAGCAGGAGTGCTTGAAAATCTTATGCTAGTCTGTCTACTTCAATGATTCTGTCAGACTTGTGTCAGTTATTTCATAACTCCTGAGGCAATAATTATGACTGAATAGATGTTCGTGAATATGTTATTCATGTGTCAGTAAACTACGGTTACGAAGAACTCGGAGACCACTAATTTTAGATCGTTATAACCGTAGTTCGTTATAAGCATATACACAGCATATAAACAGCAAATCGACCGGACCAACAAGCAGTTCGTTATAACCGTCAGTTCGTTATAAGAGTGTTCGTATAAACGTAGTGTATAATTGTCTTGCCTTTGCATGTGTTTGTAACGTATACCAGCGGTAGCTATTCTCACTTTTCAAGCCCATGTACCATCACTATTTGATAGTGATTCGTGGACAAAGTGACTCTGCTTTTAGCACACATCTCTTATAATTATCGAACGTGTTTAATCGCTTTTATTTAAGAGTTATCACAGTGACTGAATCAAAACCGACCTCTGAATAAGCATGAACGGAACGATTTACATGATTCAGTATTCAGTATTAAGCATTCAATTGTGACGTCACTGAGGAACGAAAATCCTATAGACTGTTGGACCGCCTCCGTGGTCTATTTGATAGGGCGTCTGCCCGGAGAGCGGAAGATCTGTGGTTCGATCCCTGGCTGCGTCCCACCAAAATGCGTTAAAATGTGGTAATTGTTGTTGCCCTGCCTGGAGCTCGGCGTTAAGGAGCTAAAGCCGACTGCTCGACTCGGAGTCGGTATACTGTGCCTAAGTGGGGTATTTATATTAAAATTGCGGCCTGTTATCTTAGTGAGTTAGAGCTATAAAATCGGTATTAGTCCGGGTTACTATACTGAACCGCAAAAAGAAACGTCACTCCATGTAGCATGAAAAGTTGTCATTTAAATATCTGGGTAATTTGTGTCAAAGTTTCTAAACTTTAACATTACCTTGTCCGGAAGAAAATGATGATAAAAAAACAAAGCAAATGACAATAGAACCGATCGCCCCAACGGCCATGGTCACCCGATGCACGTGAGTTCCATGCAAGTTGAAATGCACATGCGTTCTTCACCGACCGCCTTATCCATTCCATGTATCGACGTTTGACGGAAGTCATCAATGCACATCGCGGACACACGAGATACTGATTTGTGATGCCATTTTCTCACAGGCTAGCGTTGTGTTTCACTTTGAGAACATTTGACACTTTAATTTCAACCTTGATGATCAGTTTTGCGAAGTTTCATCTATTTAATATGTCTCAAAGTATGATTACAGTGTTTGGACAAATAAGGTTTCTCATATATCTATCCATGGTGACGTTTCTTTTGCGGTTCAGTATACAAGCAGTCTCGCGATTCGGGTTCGATTCTCCACATGGGTACATCGCGTGGAGTCCATTTCTGGTGTCACCCCCGTCATATTGCTAGAATATTGCTAAAAGCGGCGCAAAACCATACTCACTCACTCACTCACATGCTGCGTCTAAGGACGTCTGAGTCGAATTTGTATTTTAATACACGATCTGAAGGAAATAACTGACGTTGACTACCATCCTAAACCACCAAGGCTTCTGTCGAGAATATCAATATGCTGTTTCTATGTGATGCGGTATGTAACTTAAATTAATACATCATGATTCAATCAATGATCCAAAATGATATAAGGTTTTATAGGAATGCAACACTCTCGTGTCTTTTTCATATTAATGGTATAAACATATCATAAAATAATCTCAACAATCTAGCCAGTCCAGGTATTATGACGCCTTATGATCACTACTCTTACATAAAAGAACGAGTTATTTCGAGTGTAATTGGACATGTGTCTCGACTGGTTGAAACTTATGAAACGTTGACTACCAACGTTGACTACCTATAAACATATCATAACATAATCTAAACAATGTTAACACTCGTCGATATGGTAACGAGCATTCTTGCAGCTTAACAGTGCAAAGGTCACCAGGCTTCTCCGCCGCCCTAATATAGCTGGAAATTACTGAGTGCGGCGTTAAGCAACAAACAAACAAACTAACCGAGCTCCTAGCCCCCCGATTATCCAGTAACCTTGTAAGACACGCTATGTTTGCCGGGGACCAATTCTTATCTGAAAAATCTCAAAGGGCCATAATGAAACTGCATTGCAATGTTATTGGCCAATCATCTTCCATGGCCCCACATACACAAACAACTGCTGATCCAAGACAAACTGCACGACAGTCTGCATAGTGGGATCGCTAGAGCTGCATTGGTGCACACTTCTGTCTAGATATAGGCTTTCGGCATGAAACTAACTTATTGTTAAATGTTTTGTTTTGTTTTTTTGTTTGTTGTTGTTTTTTGTTGTTTTTTGTGGGGTTTTTTTTGTGTTTGTGTGTGTGTGTGTGGGGGGGGGGGGGGGAGGGGGGGGGGGGGGCAAGGATTTATATATATGTGTTCAGCTACAGTTATAAAACTACGTAGAATTTTATTTCAAACAGTGAGCCTCAATTTTCTTAAAGATATACACCCTGCAACAATATATTTTTTTCGGGTGCAATTTATTTTTGGTTATAATATTCCACCCAAAGAAACCGGATCGAAATATTTGATCATCCTTTGCCGTATGGGCAAGCACCAATGTCATGAATGCTATGAGAGAACTTTTTTCATAATTTTCCAAACTTGTCTTCCTGTTAGTAGCTACCCCCAGTAAATTACACCTAATAGCGTATTTCAGATACATTTCATTTGATTTTCTTTTGAAAACTTGGGGCACGGGTAGCCCAGACGTCTGAGGTTCAGCAATTTGTTGTGCAGTGTTGCGTCCATTGGGCTCGCAAGTACCCTAAGACCTTGGGTTTGAATCCCGGTTCGCCCCGATTGTTTCTGTCGGTCAGCACCAAACCCATGCTCGTGGGTCCCGTTTCAAGCCAGCGTCACTTCGGGTTCTCCTCCCGCATTTACTGGGATACTGTTAAACCCAACTCACTTACTTCCGAAAAATTTCTAAATTTCCAAGGATTTGAAATATGAGCATTTCATACATATGTTTTCATCCCTTTGAAAGTTTTGTATGATTTCAGATATCAAGGGTATGTTTTTAATAGTGTGTATATGGTCATATTGCCGGCACTACAACAAGATGAGGGGAGGTCGGGTTGCCTAGTGGTTAAAGTGTTCGCTCGTCACGCCGTAGACCCGGGTTCGATTCCCGACTTGGGTACAATGTATGAAGCCCATTTCTGGTGTCCCTCGCCGTGTTATTGCTGGAATATTGCTAAAAGCGGCGTAAAAAATACTCACTCACTACTAGAATTTGATCACGGATCAGTAAGGATAAGATTTTTGATGAACAACATCTTTAATACAATTAATAGCGACGTTTCTCTGTAGATTCTCTGACTTGCTGGATAACGGTGTTAGAACCAACACCTACATGTTTGAATACACTATTTTAGACCATAGATCTGGTATAATTCCGGATGAATACACGATGTCTCGTTCTTGTGACAGAGAAACAATGCTATGCAAGTTGCCTCAGTCGTCATAATTGCCTGATGTGTTGGATAAACTTTAAAATGGAATACTTCATCCTCTTATGAAAGGGGATGACATGTTTCAGTTTCTACCAAGACATTATGGATTCTTGCATTCTAATTGGACCACAAAGAGAGAAAATATTTATTTAAGAATTGCTCACCTCAAAACTTCACCTGTCGGCAATATCAATTTGTGATTGTACTTGATGAACGTTGTGAAATTCCATGCCTACAGATTGTTCAAGACAATAACTTGGTTAATTAATCTTTGGTTTATTTTCAGGATAAAAGCTCTTAAACAGAAAAGATGGCACGAAAAAGTAGAAATACTATGTTCAATTTTGTATCCGACTTAATGAACAAGACCATAGAGGAAGATGCTTTGATTAAATCTTATATGACGGGAAAGAAGAAAGACAAGGTGAAGAACAAAGACAAACTGTCAAGCTACAGATTTAATGATGAGGAGAAGAACAAGCATCAGAAATTGCGAACGACAGATTCAGGAGAGTCGGTGCTTCACATTGCCGTTAGCTGTAAGAGGAATAAAGTTGCCAAGCATATAATTGATTGTGATCCAAGTTTAATAATCTGTGAGAGGAAGCATGATGACTACCGTGGACAGACGCCATTCCACATTGCCATTGCGATAGCCCGACGTGACACTGCTGACCAGCTAGATCTACAGGATGATCGGCTAGACCTATTGGAATATATGATTAACGCTCTTGATGATGATATGCTCAATGAAGCGATGGAACGGCGTGTTGTAGGAAAGAAACTAAGAGGAACTGTGATGTTGGGAGGGACACCTTTGTCCATTGCTGCTTTGAATAATGATGAAACTGTAGTTGACCTTCTCCTGAAAAATAATGCTGACCTGAAAAGTTCGGACACATTTGGGAATACAGTTTTTCACTCGTTGGTCCTGTACGCATCTTTCTATCCAGAAAAAGAAAGTGCCATCCTCAGCATGATTGACAAGTTGGCAAAAAAGAGCAGGAAGTATATGAGCCACACTAATAACAGAGAAAATGTACAACGAGAAAATGCTCGTAAACAAACAGCGCTCCATCTTGCTGCCGAGTTGGGTCTGGACAACGTGTTTAAACACATCCTTGATATGGAAGATGCATACAAGTTCTTCACTAGTCATGACGGTGTTTTTGATATCTACGAGTGTGATATAACAGAGATTGATAAGGTAACCTGGGATAAGGCTGTTCTGCAGATGTCACCTGACTACAGGAATACAGACCACAGAGCAGAGGGGCTGGCAAAAGGCAAAGAGGATTCAGGAATAGAAACCTATTGGAAGAGCTTGAGACAAAATAAGAACCAGAGTATTTTGGAAATCATATGCAGTTTGAAGACAACGACGGCTTATGCGTTTCTGAACGACTACACGGTCCAAGAAGTGGTGTTCTTAAAGTGGCAGAAGTACTGTCATTACTACTACATTGGCCTCTTTCTTCACCTGTCACTGATGAGTGTCCTCACCTGGCATTTAGATCTCAAAGTTGATGCCATCCTGGATCCTGACCCGGCGCAGAAGCAGACCTTGAACCTTAGGGTTTTGAACATCATCTTTATCGTCATAAGTCTCCTTTATGTAATTCTAGAAATTCACAGGACATTCTTTTCGTTGCAACCTTTCCATATAACAAGACTGCATCACAATGGAGTATACAGGTGCATATTTGTGCTGTTTGGTTTGGCATTACTGACAGACGCCTCGTGGAATGTTGTATCTGTTACAAACAACTACTGTCTGGTGATAGCATTGATCCTTGGTTGGTGGTCAACAACCTTCTTCCTCCGTGGAATCAGACCTTTCAGCTACGTAACACTTATGTTACAGAAAGTCCTTTTTGGGGATATGCTGAAATTTATACCAATCATTTTCATAATGATGCTAGCATTTACAAGTGCAATGCACAGTGCCTTTGCGGAAACCCAACCTGGAACATTTGGGAACTTCTCTATCAGTCTTCTTACGACATTTAATCTGATGACTGGTCAAGGACAGATAGAAGGACTTGAGGGAGCATCGAGTCATGGGTCCATCCCCGTCTTTGTCCTTTCTGTGATAGTCATCCAAATATTCCTCCTCAACATCCTCATCGCTATAATGTCAAGCACATGCGAAAGCGTTAAGAATTCAAATGAGCTGTTGTGGCTACAGAGATTGTCCATTGTCTTATTCATTGAAGGTATACTACCTAAATGTCTGAAGAAAGTCATCGGGAAAGCGGAAAAGACAGATTATGGCAGTACGAGATATCTTCTCAAAATTGACCGCTTGAGAGAGGTTGACTCCATGGACGACAAAATGTTGAAAGACAACGTTAATTTGAATGTCACATCACTGCGCAACTTATTGAACAGATCAAAAGTGTGGGAGACAGCAACACTCCCTGGCGAGAGGACACAGCCCACCCAGTATCTAGATATTGAGGACTATGGAAAGAGAATATAAATAAATACAGACATCATCGTAAAAGTTAATAGTCACATGCAAAGTCTAACACCATATCCATGGCAAAAACCTATATATGTGTAGAAACATGCACCATTCGTGCAAGTAGAAGGTTCTTCAGGTGCATAATACAATCAGGTTTCAACCCACAACTTAGTGTCGGGTATATCTGTAAAAATAGTATCTCTTGATAAGGTGAGACAACCTACATCTCTTACTGACGCATTTGTCATTATAAGGTCTTTATTAGTCTTATTGGTTCCAAATGGGATGTCTTTTCACCCGAAAATGTTCCGGTTTTATCATGAGGTAGATTATTTCAATCTCATTTTATAAGATGAGATATCCATGGTATTTGTGAAAACGTCACGATACATGTACACGGTTCCAAAAAAGGAAACGCATAGTTAAAAAAATAAGGATATTTATTAAGCGGATGTAAAAATATCTACACAGAATATGCGTGAACACAATCAAATGAAATTAGACACAGTGATCGACAAAAGCATTGTCGTCATTGTCAGCATTAATTCAGTTCAGTCATTGCACATGTGTAGCCTCAAGGGGGCGTCATGGTCAGTACCTGGTCACACCACCCATTGCAGCCGTCACTGCTCGACACCTCCTTGGCACAGACTGCACAAGTCGTCGGATTTTTTCTTTGGGAATTCTTCGCCATTCCTCCCGTAAGGCGTTGGCGAGTTGTGCCAGAATGTGGGGACGCTGGTGACGTTGACGGCGCGTCGATCAAGTTCGTCCCACAAATGTTTAATCGGGTTGAGATCAGGCGATTTGGACGGCCATGGAAGGACATCGTTGTTCACATTAACAAGGAAATAACTGTTGCACGTAATGTGTGGGGCCGAGCGTTGTCATGTTGGAACAGCTCCTTCTGGCGGTCCAAAGTTGGAAGGAGGTGAGGACGCAGAATTTGGTCTATGTATCGGTTTGCTGTAAGATTGCCCTGGACAACCACTAATTGTGGTCTACTCGTGTAGGATATGGCTCCCCACACCATGACACTCCCTCCACCAAATCGGTCCACCTGTCGAACGCAGTTCGGCGCAAAACGGTACGGTCGACGTCGGTACGCGCGTTGTCTTCCATCCCGTCGTTGAAGAAGAAAACGTGACTCATCGCTGAACCAAACGCGTCGCCAGTTCCCGAGATCCCATGCCTGTACGCTGTTGCACCACCGGATACGTCGTTGACGGTGAAGACGTCGCAAGACAGGTCCAACTTTTGGTCGTCTCGCTCGAATTCCCACTTCCCTCGGACGATTTCTGATGGTTCGGTCGGCAATTCTTCGCATACCAGGCACTTGTCCTTCAGTGTCCGTTGCTGTAGCAAATAGATTCCGAAGGTGATGCAACCGGATGTACCGATCCTGAGCAGGGGTGGTCACTCTTGCTCTTCCACTTCTGGGATGACCTTGAGTCGAATTAGTGTGGGTATATCGATCCCATAGTCGAGATATGGTGCAACGGCAGACTGGGACTCCCCTGCTTCGAAACGTCCAATGGCGATATTTCGATCAGCTGCAGTTAATCTTGGCTTTTTTCGATCTCTGTTCACGTCAGAAAGTTCGTAGTGAACTTTGTACGGTCTTTTATAGTTGGTGTCTCTACTCTTGTTTCCAACACTTTGCACGTGCATTGTGCTGAAAACTTTTTCTGAAAGCAATTTCCATGCATCCTATACATTTTTGCTGATAAACGTTTACAAAAACATTTTGAGATGTGTTTGCGCCCAATGCACAACAAACATGACATGATTAACGGGAATCAAACAAAAGAATTTTCTTTATGACCATTGCTGGGAACAAAATGTAATTGGAATTCTCAAAACACCTATGCGTTTCTTTTTTGAAGAGTGTATTTGCGCTAGATTTAAAGGGATTTTCTCCTGGCCGAAAACAGGCATAGCTCGCACTGAAGTTACGCCATCAGTGTCAAATGAAATAATTATATATAGTATGAGCAAACGTCAAGCTATTAGTTGAAGCTTTTATAAGTACCTGCAGCTGTAGTTGAATGAACTATTTAATTACAATTGTTTTTTAACAATTTGTCGGGATTTTTGTCACGTGTCTATGCGATTTTCAAATTATGGATGTCAGCTGTATCCTGGTTTAATTACTTCCTGTGAATATTAACCAAATCTCTCCTGTATGGTCAGTCTAGAACTTGTTGTGTTTCATCTGCAGTGTGAACAACCAAGTCTTTTGCTACTTTGATCCAATAGTGAACATTAACATATGATGAATTGTTGTCTTTGTCGGACTCATTTCTTTGAAACACAAAGACAAATTGGTCAAAGCGATTGTCACACGACACCAATTGTATTGTCTGCATAAAAGTATTGGAGTGCACGCTGGCGCCGCACTAATGTCACAGTGTTGACCCTTACTCCTTTTTTAAATATTCCATAAGCTTCCTCATTCGCTTTGTATACGTGTTCACGTTGTCGATACGTTTCATTCCATGTGTGTTTAAGCTTGAAACTCCGTTCAGCGTTCTGGTTGTGGTGTGTGAACAGTGATCATGACTATGTATTTAATGTGTATTCTTGATAGTATGTATTAATTTTGTGGAACGGGGTACCGATGTTGTCTTCCCTTCCCCTAAGACTACTCCCCTAAGACTGCATAGTGACAGATGGCGGAAGGCAGAAACAAACAGATCCTTGCTTCAATTTCTATTTTGTTCCTAAGACGATGTCCAAAACGGAAGATACTCAACGTCATCACACACGCCACCGATGAATATAATCATCCCAAAGGTACCTCCAAGTACACATTTACTGTGAAAAGTACCAGCATTTAACAAATGAACTTTACGTTTCACAATTCGTGTTTCTGGTATGTATATTGTAATGTGGATTCTTGTAGACTTCCTTGACCCCTGAGAGGGGCGGTCAGGTAGCCTAGTGGTTAAAGCGTTCGCTCGTCACGCCGAAGACCCAGGTTCGATAACCGACATGGGTACAATATGTAAAGCCTATTTCTGGTGTCCCGCGCCGTGCTGTTGCTGGAATATTGCTTAAAGCGGCGTAATACCATACTCACTTAACTTAACTTAACTTGACCCCCGGGTAATGAATGTCTAGCTTAAATGAGAGTCATGTTTAAGTGTGACACCCAGAGATGCCATAATGGTTTTGCATGTTGTTATGTGACTATTTATCGACTTCTATCGATTTCATGATTGTACCTGAATTTACTTAGGGTTTCCGCGTTCGGAGGTGACACCCAACAACTTCTGCTTGTCGTATGATGGGACTTCATGGATCGGATGATCAGGCTTGGTGACTTGGTTGATTGTGTATGATTGTATCCCGACTGTGCGGATCGATGTTCATGATGTCAATCACTGGATTCTCTGGCCTGATTATTGACAGGCCGCCCTCATATAGCTAGGATATTGTTGAATGCGGTGTTAAACACAAAAAAAACCACCTGATCAACACATGGAAACAGAACCCTCACAATACATTAGCAGTGGTCAGTGTGACCCCTTCTTAATACATCTACTGTGCAATTGTTGAACGAATAACTGTCTTGAACTGTCTAGGTGTAAACGACTTCCTTAGTGGAACCACTCTATGTTACTCGATTCATATCGCTTTTATTCAAGATTATGTAAGAAAACAATTGTGTTATCAGCATTTAGCTGTAGGATATTGATTCTTGTTTTGTTGCAGTTGCTTTCATATTTTGCAATATGTACACGTTAAAGCTTTTTTTAATTAAAAACCTTTGATGACTTGATGACAATAAATGAATGAGAAAATGAATCTCAATCTGTCTATCTGGCTTACCGCCTCTTTGTCATCGCGAGCAGGATGTGCTGCTCAAGAGAACCATAGAGGTCTAGTTGGAACACATCTCATATCATCTGAGTTTGAACTAGAAACTCCACCAATAGTGTTTGGGATGCAAGAGGGGGAATCAAAACGTTTTCAGCCAAGCATACATAGAACTGAAATAGTGTCATGAGCTTTAATTATTTTCAACATAGTTCTCTTGCAGTCCAATACACTTCCCCAGGTTAGTTGCCACTGTTTGTAGGTCATATTATGGGCTATTTACTAGCCCTTCACAAAGGCAACCACTTCTTGGTCCTCGTTAAGTCTTTGTCCATGCTTTCGTTTCAAGCTTGAAAACAAGTGGCCAGATTGGTAAATAAGGACAATAGCCCAAAATAACAGCCTCACCATAAACCGTTCATCAATATTCCTTGAATCCTGGACCCGTGAGGATTCGGGGTAGAATAGGTCTTCAGCAACCCATGTTTGCCGTAAGAGGCGACTATGCTTTTCGTAAGAGGCGACTAACGGGATCGGGTGGTCAGTCTCGCTGATTTGGTTGATGCATGTGATCGTATCCAAATTGATTGATGCTCAGGATGTCAATCACTGGATTGTCTTGTCCAGGTTCGTTTATTTACAGACCGCCCTCGGAATATTGCAGAGGGCGGCGTTAAACAACAAACAAAAAACTCAGTTTTGTCCATTTCAAAGCTAGGGTACCTCAGAGTCGATGAAATCAATCGATTGAAGCACGACAAACTGTGAAAGTTGAATGACCCCAAAAATATGATATACTCGTAAGCATAACAACAACCAAGATTTGGCAGGCTCAAAACGTTTGTGGGGCGGTCGGGTAGCCTGGTGATTAAAGCGTTCGCTCGGCACGACGAAGATCCGGGTTCGATTCCCGACATGGATACAATGTGTGAAGCCCATTTCTGGTGTCACCCGCCGTGATATTGCAGGAATATTTCTAAAAGCGGCGTAAAACCATACTCACATACTCACTCACTCACTCTCTCACTCACGAGACCATGTAAACACGGACGGACGACTTCCACATTCCTGGGGGAATTCCCAGCACGAATACATAGAAAAGCGTTCTTGCAGATGATTTAGACCCTCTTATCTTGAACTCAGCGTGTTGGTAAACATTGAGAAACGTCAGAGAGTTTGACTGCATGATCGTTCACGAATATCCTCACTTCGACCCATCCTAGTGAACAAAAGGAAGAAAGGCACATCTAAACTATCGTAGTATCGACTCGATCCGTGTCTAACCTGACAGTGACAGTCTACAGCAAACTATGAATTTACCTTAATATCTATTGGACACATCTTTTCAATCGCCTTTCAATGATCGGCCAATTGATCAGTGATGCATGACACTTATAAAAAGCCGTAGGTTCATTAACAACTTCGGAAATGGTTTTCCAATTGTGAAGATCGAAGCGCAAGATATCATTCACTGTCTATTGTCTGGTCCAGACTCGATTATTTACAAACCGCCGTCATATAGCTGAAATATTGCTGAGGGCGGCGTTAATCAATAAATCTATTTTTTAAATACTACATTACCTTAAAACTTTGTCAGATGACCTTCCTTCCTTAAAACTTACCGTAAACGCCTTGGAATACTTG